TCAATTAACCAACATGGCTTGGATGCATTTATCCGCCGATGTGCACACTTCAAGCATCAACACAAAATGAGGTTGTTGTTTTTGTTTCCAATGCGATGCTCGCAAATCACGCTACAAACGACGAGCATGCTCGCTGAAAATCAAAATTATTTTATTTTTTGCGAGCATGCTCGTGAACCGCCCTACAAACGACAAACACGCACGTCAAGCCGCGCATGTGCGCGCAGATGTTCGTCGTGTGTAGCCAGTTTAAGGGTGAGCAACACGTAACAGATAATTCAAAGTAATCCAAAAAAGAAGTTTCATTTCATTTGAATAAAGTTTCATTTAATTTGAAAAAAGTTTCATTTAACTTGAATAAAGTTTCATTGAATCTGAAAAAGGTCTCATTTAATTTGAATAAACTTTCAATGAATCTGAAAAAGGTTTCTTTTAATTTGAAAAAGGTTTCGGTTATCATGAAAAAGGTTTCGGTTATCATGAAAAAGGTTTCACTTAATTTGAAAATGGTTTCGCTTAATTTGAAAATGGTTTCATTTAAACCGAAAATGCTATAGCTCGGTTTCAGTCAGGAAATCTAGTTATAAACTAGTATTTTTCCTGTCTAGTTTGGGGCTTCACTGCAGGGACAGGCCGTAAGAACAAGGGAATCGTAAGTTGTTAAAGGAGGTGTTCAGTAAGCCGTATCACGACATATGCAAGAAAAAAAGTTTATCATGAAATTTCCTATCATTTTCTATAAAAAAATTTTCAAAATTTCGATTCGTGGGAAAACCAGAATACGCCTCCATGTGTCAGTTTTATTTAAACACTTATGTATGTCGAAGAAAAATTTTGGGTGTAAAAACTTTTTTTAGACACGCTAAAATCCGTTAATCGCGTTTTTTGTTATAACTTTGTTATTTGATATCCGATTTTCAAAATCCTTATATCGCTATAGTCCTGAGCGATACCTTTTCGGCGACATAAACATTTTAAAAATCGGATATCAAATAAAAAAGTTATAGCAAAGAACTAGGGATGTGCCGGATAGAGATTTTTCCGGATATCCGGTATACTGCTGTCCTTTATAAATTTCACAATATTGTTATATTATGTCTTTTTGGTTAGCGACATACTTATGATTATCTGATTTATCGAGCCTAACTATGCAATACGTAATTAAGAATACAAAATTTCTCCACTAAAATCAAATCGGAAAAGTTAACTATGGAGAGGTTCCATGGGAAAGTGGACCCCAGTGCAAAAATAATTTTCTTTATGAAACTAACAAACGTGTGGATAAGACATTTGTAAAAATCTTGAATTACCCAAAAAATAACAAATTTAGGCTTTAAATGCATTTTTATTATCTTTCTTACGTTTTGAAATCAAGTTCTAAGTAAATTTTTTGATTGAGTTTAAAGTAGGTTGTGTTGAATGCACTGTCAAATAATTTGCGATTCATAATTAAAGTGTTTGGTAAGAAAAATATATAGTAGAACTCATCTGTTTTTAATAAAATTGTGTTATATATTAAATTGTGTGACTGCTTTATCTATATTATGAGTTAATATTAAGAAGTATTGGTCTTGTCCCACCCGTAACAAAAAATGCTAAAAGTTGTTATATTTAATTAAATAAGTTGAGGTTGTGATTCGTGTTTGTTACGTAATGTTAGAAATTCACTGCAAATATTTACCACAATAGTATTGTCGTTTCCACGTTGCTAGATAAGAATAATTCGACAGAGAAGCATGTCCCACCCGTGACAGCTATGTGTTGGACAGTTGTCAGAGGTAGGTTTACAGGGCTAATAAGCTTTATTTGTTTGTTGAGGGGGACGCAGGGGACGAGGGGGGGATGCGCGGACTCGTCCATTATCTATATACCCTTGTGCTCAGCTGATTAAGTTAAGTTACATTTTGACCAGTTTTGGTTTTTTATTTTGTTAATCTAATGTTTATAGTTTTTTTTATTAAAGTCTAGCACATTACCTAACCGGAAAAACCTAAATCTACATTTCAAACTTCTTACAAAAATTATAAAAATTCAACAAACTTTAACAATTACGCCCAAAAATTTTAAACTTTTTGTTCAGAATTTTTAGGTATGCAGTTTTGTAGTCCATTACATTTAAGTAGGTAAAAGTTAAAATTTCAAGACGCTAGGAAATCGCGTTCATTTTTAATAATTTTTTTGGCTGACGGTGCTAAGCATTTTCTTCTATATAAAAGGCACCATCCTAAGATAAAACGTGAGTGGATTGAACCCCTACTTGGCTTCTTATATTTTTTAATAACTTATCTTTATATATGGATCGCACTAAAAGCTCCTTTTCATATAAAAATTCGTACGTGTCCTACCCGTGACAAACGTTGTCATCCGTGACAGAGGAATTTCGGATTTTTTGTATAATAAAGCCATGATTTTTTTTGTAGTTTTTGCTTTGTTTGTGTTCCTGGTTCTTTGTTTTATTATAAGACATCAAGTTCACACAGAATAGTGAAATAAATTCGCAGAGTTTCCGTAAAATATATCTGCTCCAAAAACCAGGTTCTTTTTTTGTCCCACCCGTGACAGAAGAAATAAACCAGATTTTTTCCATATAAAAGTAAGCTGGAATTTTTTTCGTATTTTGTAATAACTCATATAATTGTCAATCCGGTGTAGCTTTATCAAAATTTAGAATTGTTGAGTACTTTATACTTAAATTTAAACAAGAAAGAACATTTTTTCTGTACAAATGTCCAACCCTAGAAAGAAAAAAATTCACAAGTAAACATAGTACTTATTGCGGCAGTTATCTTTAATTAACCATAATCCACTTAATTTTTATAAGCTTTTATTTAACTTGGTCATCCCGCGGAAATCGCGGAAATTTCCAATCGATTTTAAACTAACTTCCCGACAAGTTAGAGACTTGAAATTTTCAGCATAGTGCCAATCACGATGACAATGCAATTTAAAATATAAATAATTCCCTATATGGTCCAGGGGTCTTGATTTAAAGGCGGTCAAAAAATAGCAAGATTTATGGCTAACAGAGCGTAATTTGTCAAAGAGCGTAAAACCACTATAAAATTGTTAAAGCTGCCGGCGCGCCGCGGCGGTAGTGTAGCAAAGCTATTTGTGGCTAATTCTAGATATACAATTAGAAGACTCCAGATGTCGCCCCGCCGGAAGAAGTTAAATATTGCGCTTAAATATATGCCATGCTACAGCGGAAATGGACGACACGCCATTTCTTTAAATAAAATTAACTGCTGCTATATATGTACATATGTATGTTTATACAAAACGTAAGCAAACAACATTTTGCTTGCCAAGTCTTCTGTTCTCTTTCATTGCAAGTTGAATTATTTTAATATCTATTGCAAGATTTTGTACATAAAACAAAATAACACTTTTTAATATGTAATGCTTTTATAAATGGACTAAAAATTAGAAAATAAAATAATGTAAAAAAAATATTTTTAAAAAACAAGCTTTTAAATATTTAACATGTACAATCAAAGGAATAAAATAAAGTATTGTAACAAAAGATTTTTTTAGCAAGAAAATTTTGTCAAAACTGCACTAAAATGAATAAAATAAAATAAGTTAAGGTCTCGTTAAAGTTACTAAAAGCCATTTAGTGAAAGGAGTTATTCAAACTCTAATGAAAATTACTAACAATTTGTACTAATTTACTTCGGTTTTAAAAAAGCTTGTCGGCGAATTCAGCGTACATGCATAATTGGTTAGGTATGTATATGTATGTATGTATGCAGATATTTAAATGGCGGTTTGCTATTCGCGCGACAAACTTTTTTAAAAACGAAGTAAATTAGTACAAATTGTTAGTAATTTTCATTAGAGTTTGAATAACTCCTTTCACTAAATGGCTTTTAGTAACTTTAACGAGACCTTAACTTATTTTATTTTATTCATTTTAGTGCAGTTTTCACAAAATTTTCTTGCTAAAAAGTCTTTTGTTACACTACTTTATTTTATTCCTTTGATTGTACATGTTAAATAAAAGCTTGTTTTTAAAAATATTTTTTTTTACATTATTTTATTTTATTTAATCATTATATTTGCTTACGAATAAACCACTTTCTTCCTTACAACTTTATTTTTTATAGTCATTTTCGGTTTCGATGACCGAAAAAACATAGGAATACACTTACATATTAACTTTGCATGAAAAATGAAATTTCAATCTACAGGGGTGGTGCGGGAAAATGGTCAGTTGAAGTTATTTTTTTGGTCATATTCGTTTTCAGCGACCCAGAAAACCTAGGAAAAGTGGGGTTTACCCTCTGGTTCATACAATTTTTTTTGTTTTTGTGTTCTCCTGTGTAATTAGTATACAACTGCTTTCGGATTTTCCACCTAAAAGTGTGCAAGACCTACTTTCTGGAGTTTGGTATGTTCACTAGGCTGGGTCGATTTTGTATGGGGGAAAATAAAAGTCATTTGACCGCATTGTAATAGTAATATTATGATGTTTTAGGCCTAAGCCAATTGTTATTGGCCAAGAAAGATTAATTTAAAACTTATCTTTAGCCCGCGCAATTAAATCAAAGTGTATGAATTTCGAAAATGAAACTTTGGCTTGTAATATCTATGGAATGAGTTATTGTTATAAAAAGGATGATATATCAAATTAAGGGCTATTAAATTTAGTACCTCACGTTCATTTATCATTTTTCAATAAGTCTACACGTTTTTAAGATATCAAGATAAAACTTAAAAAAACTATAATATTCCCTTATGAATTTTCAATTCTTCATTACTTCAGCAACCAAGTGAAAAATACAAACAAGTGAGACGAGATTTATTTCAAACGGTTTAATGTTTTCGGATGTTTATGTAATACTAGAGGGACCATAGACTTAGTCACGCTTAGTCGTGGTGAATGAATGTATTGTCAAAAATTAGGAATCGTTTGACAAGTTATTAGTAGTTTCAAACATATAAGAATTAACATACATTAGCATAATACAATTAGGGTGAGAAACGCCCATTTTAAGTCCGTTTTTGCAGTCTTGAAAACTGGTGCGGAATGGTTTCATTAGTCGCCGAAGAAGCACAATTTTCGCTGTTTCTAAATTTGCCGTTATATGAAAGTAGGGGACGTGCAATAAGTTTTTAGATATACATAAATATTTTAGTTAATTCCATTATGTGAAAAAGTGACTGTAGGATTTACAGTACTCTTTAACATGTCCTGGGAAATCCTTTTGAGGACTCTCCAATTGGACGATATTGCTTTGCATTCAGCTTGAATGAAAAAAGTCACACGCTGGCACAGTTTTCTGTAATCCAGTTCTTTTATTTAAAGGTTATTTATACAATTGAAGATAATTTAAAAAAAAAAACTGGAGAGCCACTTAAGTTTTTCGATATAACTTTGGTAAATGTTACTCGATCGGTACGTAATAATTAACAAATTGAAAGCGAGACTTACTGTTACTGATTTATGATAACAATATGATGAAAATCGTTCAGATTATAAACCAGTTATTTTGATATAAAAAAAATTTTAACAATTTTTTTTGTCATTTTGCTATATTTGCAATTTTTAAATTGTATGCATAAACATAAGTAAACTAATTAGTGTTTCCAGAAGTTGTGCCTGTTCAGTGTTTCCATACTCATTTGAATAAACAAAATTTTTCCACGATGATGGAAAATAATGGCTATTCTATTAGAGCTACCGAAATTGTTCCTAAATTTGCAAAAATTCGCAAATTATAGCTAATATTAAAAAAAGATTAGAATATTTGGAACTAACGATCTAAATGCACGCCAGCAATATTAATGCTGTTCATCACATCTTTTGACTATAGGCCAGTGCAATTATCAAGAGAACAATTAAAATTTCTTTGAAAATAGTTAAGTTTCAGATTAACGATAAGCTAAAGTGCTGCGAAAAATGATATTTGACTTTATCTTTGGCGTTAACGGATTCATTATCTAATAATATGCACCAACCCTTTTTACTGAACCCAGAATTTTTAACAAGAATTGGTCTTATTCGACTAGTATGCTGTGGGTCCTTTGGCGGTCGATGCGCGGGCTCTCACAATTAAAATAAAATACTAATATTTTGCAGGCTTGTTGTTGACTTCATGATACAATTATTACCAAGGGATTTGAGAAAAATTTGATTTTCGACCCGCCCTAATGTTCACGAAGGTTAAGGCCTGAGACGTTCTAAACCAGGGGTTCCCAAGCTTTTTTCACCGCGACACCCTTGTTGTGCTAAACAAATTTCGCGGCACCCCTACTCTTAAAATATCTACGAAAACAAGCACGTGTATGCTCCCTTAGCTTTAATGTGAGGACTGAAATTGTTTTGATGATTTCATTATTTCCTTTAAGTTTATTGGGAGCTTTGACAATTTCACCCTGAAATCATTTGATATATTTTTATTATTATTTTTTTTTATGTATGTTACCGCATAACTTTGGACCACGTAAACCGATTACTATGATTCTTTTTTTTTAAGGAAAGATGTTACCTCGCAGGTGGTCCCATTCTAATTTGGTTTAAGTCCGATCATTGGATCATGAAGAGATTAACGATAATCTTAAATTTGTATAAGGGAATTGAAGTCGGTTTTGTTTTTTGCTTAAAAATTACTTGTTTATGTAAGCATGTGTTGAAAATGCAGTCTCACATAGAAATGTAAAAGTAAAAGTTACTAGTATTTTTAATGCAATCTTGCCAACAGCAGAAGGTTTTCAAAAGCTTAATTTGTCATCTCAGTAGGTTTACCCTTCGGGTTACATGAAAACGGGTTTGTTATCCAGTTGTAGACATTCTCAGAGTTAATGTTGGGAAAATATTCAGCTGGTAACGCGTGTTGACGCTAACAGGTCTATTCTGCGCTGGTAATAAAAGTTTTGTAACCGGTAAATTAAGTTCCTGTCAAATTTTAAACCCTTTTCGAATTCTGTGTACTCTTGTAAGCGGTAAATTTTGTTACCATCTCATAAGCTGGTAACAAAGTATTGCCCCGTGAAATATGCAATGCCAGAATCTCCACAATTCTTCAAAGCTGAATTGCTGAATATTTTAACTGCATTACCAACGTTATTAGAATCGCGGTGACAAGAACTGGTAACATTTTTTGGTAATAAAATTTTCCGGTTACAAAATCTTTGGTAACGTGCAGAATAGACCTGTAAGAAAATAACTTTTACAGCCAATTTCAAGAAAGTAATTTAAGTGAAAAATTATTTTAATTTTTTGAATATTATATGGAAATTGACAGAAAATAAAAAATCATTTTCCATTTAAATTGCTGGTGAAACCGGCTGTCATCAATTTTCTTAGCGTTAACTTCGAAGTAACATATGTATGTTTTTCTGATTTACTTTGTTTATTTATGGGGTTTTCATATAAATTGCTAGAAATTCTAAAATATACTTGTCACCAATAAAAAAAATCTCGACATGCTCGAAAAAACCAAAGATGTATTTTAATTTCGCAGGCCTCTGTTATCTTCGCAGCGTCATCCAATACGGGTTTTAAATCTAGTCCCCAGGGAATACCGACGGATCATACAGTGACTTCTCGTGGCGTTTTCTGCCTCTTGCTTCATCCTAGACATCGCTCCTTTCGTTTTTCCAACCACTGCAAATAGCCACACACCTGTTCCATTTCAAACCCTTTTTTTGTACAAATTTGTCGATAGCTTTAAAAATTTCGTCGCTAGTGGTAAGTCTCAAGTACTTCGTTCATCAAAATTTCTTCTTCGATTTGCTTTGCGACCTCACTACCACGAGAAGAATATTAAGTCCCTCTATGTCGGTACTTTCGTCTAGTAGAAAACTAAAAAATTCACAAGCTTTCTAACTTTTTATAAGTTCGTTCTCGATTGCCTCTAAAATCGTGTTGATTCGCTCTTTCACAGTGTGATTGTGTAGTTCTAAAGAATAAGTAACATATACACGTGCTCGAAGCTGCTGCGCTTGTTACGAGAACAGCCCAGCCAGCAAAAAATCCGAAAATTAATCCGAAAACGGGAAGAAAAGTGGATGAAACGCGGACTAGGTCTACATAAGTACCGAAAATAGTTGTGAAAAGGGTACGTTTTCAGTAATTTTTTTTGAAAATTTTCTGATTGAATTTTTCGTTAGCAAAACGTACTGGGGAACTACGCTAGCGGAACCCCAGGCATACGCTCGCGGCACCCACTTTGGGAAAGCCTGTTCTAAACAACTTTGTCAAAGAAATTTTGCCGGAAAAGCCAGCCAGATAAAAGTTAGAAACCATAAAATAGGGTATAACACCTGAAAATTTTTCAAAATAAAAAGTTGTATGAAGTCGTGCAGAAAACTTAAAAAACTAATGATGCAGTTGGAAAGAGGGTGAACCGTCTTTTCCGGCCATGTCTTTGAAAATGTTTGAAAAAAACTATCACAGTTTTATCATCAAAATTTAAAAACAGAATGCAATTGTTTTAGTTAATTTCTGTAAAACTTTTTACGTTCAACTTTCTCTGGAGAGAATTTACTTTCCATGAACGGAAAAAAAATTCTACAAAAAATATTCCTATAAAAACTGCAGCAGAGACTACTACCAACGTCCTTTTTATAGCCAAATTTGTTTGACGATATGGAATCCCAAGGTTCTCCTCCTACCAGGGTGTCCAGATTATTTAAAAAAAAAGTGCAATTTCTGAAAGAAAAAATCGCCAATTTTTTTTTAAATAAAATTCATGAAATCGATTTAACAAATCTTTTCTTTTAAAAATGAGATCTTGTTGTAATGAGGCGTATTCTTGTTTTCGTACGAATCGAAAATCGTGAAATTTTCTTATCATTTTCTATACAAAAATTTCAAATTTTCGATTCGTACGAAAACAAGAATACGCCTCAATATAGTTTTTAAAACGAAAAACGAATATAATACCTTCAGGGGGTAATAATAAATAACACAAATCACTTATATAATAGTGATGTACAAACAATTTTCTTTAAAAATACGCATACTTTTTATAAATAATTGTTTCAACACATTTTGCAATTGGACTGCGCAATTATTAAATTTATTATAACTCATATTAATTGATTAATCGCACAATCCGCTTTTAGGGCTCGGCGCTAAAAATTAAATAAAAACCTATAATAAAGCGAGATCAGCTATTTCCACAATTTCATCAAAATCACCTATAGTGTCTGAATGATTTACATTTCTGTTGTTGTCATATATTGAGCTATTCAATCTTGATAACATACTAGTTGCGTTCCAGATGCTTCACGATTTGGAGGTTTTTACAAGAAGAAGAAATGACCGAAAATTTAAAAAATTGGACAATAACCACGCCCACATCCCATATAACGGTAATTTTCGGAAATACGAAAACTGCGATATTTTAGTAACTACTGAAGATTATTCACTCAAAATTGATATTTACAACAATTTTAAGACGAAAAATAAGAAGATTATAAATTTTTGGAAAATGGGCGTAGCCACGCCCACTTATGGTTACATGTGTATATCTTGGTAACCGCTGCACCAATTTCTTCCAAGCTCCTCACAGTTGTTGGCCTTGATACAGCATACTAAATGGCCGAAAATTTAAAAAATCGGACAATAACCACGCCCACATCCCATATAACGGTAATTTAGAGAAATACAAAATCTTCGATAAATCAGTAAATATTGAAGCTAATTTATTCAAAATTGATGCTTGCAACAATTCTTTACCAAGAAATACGTTTATGGTAAAATTTTGGAAAATGGGCGTGGCACCGCCCACTTATGATCACACGTTCTACCAATTTGTACCAAACTCGGTGTGGTTATTGTGCTTGCCAAATATAAGTAAAACGTTGAAAATTATTGAAATCGGACTAAAATAACGGCCGCTTCTCATATAGCGGTAAATTTCAGAAATGCTTGAAACTTCAATATTTCGAAATTGAAGGACGCTAATTTACTCAAAATGGATACACCCCGGCTTACCATCTAGCGGAAGGTTTCGGAAAGGTGAAAAAACATATATTTAATACTTGCGCCGGGTATTTAATGTTCGGCTCCGTCCGAACTTAGACTTTCTTACTTGTTTATTATTTATTTGTTAACTAACTTTACAAAAGATTGGTTTGATTTATGAATACATGGATAAAGTACATTTAGAAATAAAATAAACAGAAAGATCCGCAATATATCACAATTCAATTCTTTTTTTAATAAGGAGATATCTATCATATATATATTATCAAAAATTAGTTGGCTACCCTGATTGTAGTTGATGCAGAATTTTGCAATCGGGTGCTCTCGTACTTTCGAGAATACCCCTAGATTTCGAGAATACCCCTAATGTAATTAACAGGGAACGGATTTTATGGAAATTGCCTTTTTTTCTGCTAAAGAAGTAGAGTATATTCGATTAAGAATGTCCACGATTTAGCTTTCCCTGATTTCATATATACACATTTGATGTTGCCTTTTTTTGCCTTTTCTACCTTTAAAAAAGTGATTATAGCATTTCAAATTTTTTTTTAAAGATTAAAAAATATACACATGCCCATGCGGCTTATAGAAGCGCAGGGACCTCTTGCCAATATGGTGTTGGAAAAATTCAAAGCCGTTTTCTCAGCTAACGTAGGCCTGGAGACAATAAGGGGTGTGGATAAAATTGTAAAGGGCGAGGAAAACGCCCTTATTCCTGATAATATGAACGTTTCAAATTTTCCATATTTAAATTGTGCTCCACTTGTATCAACTTACGTCGAGCGCACATTTAGTACATTCAAGGACGCGAAAATCGAATGAAAATGCCTCCAGATAACTTCAAAATGCATCTTGTGGTTCAATGTTACTACAACTATACAGATTAAAGTTTTATGAGTTAGAAACTCGAAAGGATAAAATAGTCAAAGATTCAAAGTACAAATTTTTCATATAATGAAACTAGTTCATAGTTTTTCTATTTTTACTTGTAATATAAACATTTCTAAAATAAATGTATTTTTTGATTGTTCTTCGTATTTTCTGTCTTTTTTTAGTGCCTTATTTTGCTTTTTTTGCAATACCCAGTGCCTTTTCCTGCCTTTTTCGCAATACCCAGTGCCTTTTCTTGCCTTTTTCGCTATTTTGTTTTGCCTTTTTTGCAATACCTAGTGCCTTTTTCGCTATTTTATTTTGCCTTTTACAGCCTATTTCTTTATTTTATTTTGCCTTTTTTATAGGTTTTTAGGTCCTAAAAATCCGTTCCCTGGTAATTAATAATGCGAACTATGTCGCATGTGTCGTACTTGCCTCTTGTGTTGACATGCATTGATTTGATGCACGATTTGATTTCAATTTATTCGACAGTGTCTTCATATGTCATTGTCAAACAAGTATGAGCGACAGACTGTGAACTGCGACACATGTCGCTATGTTTTATAGCTCAACATTTGCAGGCCTTTAATACATACTAGAGTGCCAGTTACTGTCGAAATTCGACAGTTTTTCTAGTGTTTAGGAGCCTTGGAGAGGGTTTCTAACTTAACACGTAGCAAAACTTATACGATACAAATTAACTTACCGGAACATCTTCTGCTTTGGAACTAAAACGAAACTAAATTTTTTTATCTTAGAAGGTCTTTGGACTTCAGCAGGACTTGGAATTGACCCGATACATTCCACTTTATCGATAAATATTAATGATTTGATACATATCGATAGTTCGATGAATTTCAAAAACACTAAAATCATATAACTCAACAAAATTCGTTAACTCGACCAATTTCAATAACTGTGAAATTCGAGGGCGCGATAAATTTCGATAAATCAAAAATGTAAATTCTTTGGATACCTTTAAAAATTTTTACTTTTGACAGCTCCATATTTTTCGAAAGCGAATGATAACTCATTACACTCTGTTAGCACGATAAAATTCGATAAGCAGTGATAAATCGATAAGCTTATATAATCTTGAAATTTCGATTAATGGATATATTTTGAAAATTCCATAAACTTCGATTCGATGAATCAACCAATTTCAGTAGATCAATAATTATCGATAACTCTGTTAGTTGAAAGAACTCCATGCATTACTACAACTCGATAAATTTCGTTAAGTCTATAAATAATGATAATTCAATAAATATCGATAACTTGATACATTTCTTTAACGTGACAAATTTCGATAATCCCACATATTTTTATAGCTCGATAACTATTCGTAAATTTCGACAACTAAGTTTCTGTGTCTATAAATTTCGACAACTCAATAAACATTGATCAATTTGAATAATTCGATACGTTGTGATAACTTAATAAGCATGGATAAATTTCGATAATTATAAACTTCGATGATTCGATAAATTTCAGTAACTTTTATGGAAAATTTCAATTCAGTTACCCTAGTTCTTATGTATTTCTCATTGTCTCCATTTTCGCCTTTATCTCCATTTTCGTCTTTATCTTCACTTTTGCCTTCTTTTTTTGTCTTCATCGTTATCACTTGTTTCTTCATCTTCATATTTAACTTTATTTCAAAGTTTAATTTTAAATACGAAGTAAAAACTGCGAAAGAGCTTAAATTGAACAGGTTGCAAAAACAACCATACACAAATATGGAAATTTTTAAACAACGATTTTAAACCAATTTCGAAACTATAAAAACTCTCCTCATCTACAGAATTACCTTTCCAACGGTGTTCTTGGTTTTGAAATCGGTAAATTTACCTTGGTCTTCATCTTTGTTTTTATCTTTCATATCTTTGCTTTTATCCTTTTCTTTATCTATTCACGTAGATGAGATGTGATGACGGTGATAAGATGTGACGTGATTTTACGTCATAAATAGGATGTCATGTCATGTGCTGTCATATCCTGTGATGTCATGTCATATGATGTCATACCATATGATGTCATACCATATGATGTCATATCATGTGATGCCACGTTATGTAATGCGATGTCATGTCATACGATGTCATATCGTGTGCTGTCAAGTCATGTGATGTCATACTATATAATGTGATGTCATATCATATGATGTCATGTCACGTGTTATGTGATGTAATATAATGTGATGTCTCATCATATCATGTGATATAATGTGATGTGATGTCATGTAATGTGATCGCATTCCATGTTCCGATTATTAAATCGGTAACCCTGTCGATAACTGTTGCAATAAAAATACCGATAACAATATCCATAAACATATAGAAAAATACAACGATTACAAAATCGATTTATTCATCGATATATAACAATCATCAGTATCAATTATTATACATATCGATAACAATATAAATGAATAAAAAGATAACAAAATCAATTATTTAATCGATTATTATACCGATAACAATATCCATTATTGTATCAATTATTATATTGGTTATTATATCGATTACAATAGCGGTTATTTAATCAATAACAGTATCGATAACAATATCGGTTTTTATTCTCAAACCGCTAAACCGCTGAGAACTACTTCCATGTGCATTATTCCCATTGAATTTGACAATTTACTCCCAACCAACCAACTGCCGCTAAAGAAGTTTCACTTCATAAATTCAAGAAATGTTCTTACCCTTTCAGTTACCCTAATTCGTATGTATCTGTCATTGTCTTCATTTTCGTCTTTAACTTCACTTTTGCCTTCTTTTTTTTTACTTGGTCGTTATCATTTATTTCTTCATCTTCATATTTATCTTTATTTCAAAGCTTAATTTCAAATGTGTAGTGAAACAACAGGCGAAACATGTCAAATTGAACATATTGCAGCAACATGTATACACAATTCGAAAATGTTTAAACGACGGTTTTGGCCGTAATTTTCAATCAATTGTAAAACCATAAAAACTCTGCTCATCTACGGAAAAATGCCTTTCCAACGGTGTTCTTGGTTTTGAAATCGGTTCGGTAGAATCGCCAAACGAACGGAGACAAAATTTATGTTAGCGTATTAATATATAGATGTATGTATGTATATAGAGGAAAAAACATTAAATACAAGGAAAAAAGAGTAATCGATTTATTTGATCAATTTAGCCTTTCATTATGTAAACAAACACAAACTAACTCGGTGACGTGACACAACAGCTGATCTTATCAAATTCCGTGGAAACTCACGAACCTTCCTAATACAGCGAGCTTTTGTTACATTCATATTCGTTATGTTATAGGGTTGTTCGACTTCACTAGAAAGTCGACTTTCGACTTTTCGATCGACTCTGTACAGTCGACTTTAAAAGTCGACTGATCCACGAAGAAATGTCGACTTTGTTCGACTTTTATAATAAAAATAAAATGTATTAACTATACTCTGCATTTAACTCATATATTAGCTATAAATATAAGAGTCAGAATACGCCAAGAATATCATGATTTACTAGTGGTCTTTAGAATAATCTGTAATTTAGTGAAATTCAATGCTAGATAAAAAAACAGACACTAAAGGATTTTTAAAAATTTTGAAAATTGTTCCAGTTATACAGCATGAAAATGTTGGTTGTGAGGGTTTTCAAAAATATTTTTGAAAAATTATTTAAAATTTTTTAAATTTTCACAAAAAATTCTAAAAATTTTTTGAATCGATATTTGGTAATTACGGACAACTTTTTGAAAAATGCGGCCTTCCGATGGAGCAGAATTGGCGGGTATTGGTAGAAATATAGTGCCACTTTATAAGCATGGATAAATATGGGAGTAGCCCAGACAGCTAGTGGATTGGGACTATCTACACGACTAATGTCGCATATTAACTGAAATCTTACCAGCAACGTTTTTAGCGGTGTTTAAAATGTTGTACCTAGGGAATCCAATCCCGCATAAAAATCGCAATCCCGCAAGCCTGCGGGATCGAGGTCATCAATCCCGCGGATCCGCGGGATTCGCGGGACTGAACAAAAAATCATATTATTTCCTTTAAGCAGATATATTAAAATTTTATATGTAAAAAAGACGATTTTATTTAGAAAATCTACGTATTTATTTCTAATTAGATTGACTTTTTTGATAATATTTCCGAAGGAATAATAAAGTATTTAAGGTCTCGTCTTTTAAATTCGACCTTATTTTATTACACATATACCCAGCGGCGGAAAACGCACGCTCGGCTTCAATACTTGTAGGTGGAATCGACTTCACATAGTTATAAGAAGCTTCTAGGTGCTTTACTCTATTGCCTCCGCATTGAAAAAGCGTCATTTCACGTTTCAATATCAGATCAAGAGTATTTGCTTGTGCAGATATAAGTACAGATGAAGCGTCGGCTACCCATTCAGTACGAAGACTACGCTCTAATTCAGCTTCTAACGTAGGAGGGGATACACAATCTCTTGACAGATGGGCTAAAGACACGTTGTCGTCTGCATCATCGTCATCAATCCGCTGGGTTTCGGTTTGAGATTGTGGCTGAGCGTCGAACAACAGTCTCTCAATTAAACACTTAATTTCGGTTCTTAGCGTTACTTTGCTTGGAAAAAAGAATGTATCTTCCTTATTTGTAGACACAGAATCTTGTTCCAGATATTTAGTTGGATTTTCCATGTAAAGTAACACCGCAGTCATTGATGGTTGCCGTTCTTTTATCCGGCGACTTAAAGATGTTACAAGATCCCTGCTTAATCCGGTATTTTGCCCTTCCAATTTATTTAGCATAAAACGCAATGTAGTTTCTGCAGTAACTAACGTTGCGTCCTCACGGCATAAAACATTTACAGCAAGTTTTATGGGCTCTAATGCACTTTCAATATCAATCAATGTTAAACATTCTTCATCAGTAAAAGAAAATGAAGATGATGTCAGTTTAATATCAATAAGCGCTTTAAATATGCACTGTTTGACTTGGTTGAACCTCGTAATCATTGCTGCAAGACTGCTCCAGCGCGTTCGACAATCTAGAATGAGCTGTAACTCCCTGCCAAATTCTGTTTTGATATAATTTTGCAATAGATCATTCTTCATTGGAGATTTTGAGCTAAATAGTTTCACGATCTTTCGTGCTTTTTGAATCAGCTCCCTAAAGCAAACGAAAATATTCAATTAAAAACAAACCCGCACGCCTAATAATTTATTTATCCACCTGTATTTTGGTAACAAATCTACTTCTTGAAAGCCTTCTACAACTGAAAAGTAACCGCGCTCATCGTCATCATTTTCGCTGTCGCTATTATTACCGCCGTCACCTCGTCTATTTGCTACAGCAATATTTTGTACATAATTCTCTTCTGAGTCTACTTGTTGGTGTTTGTTTTCATATAGTACGTCAAGAACTGCTAACTGAAGCCCGTGAGCAAAGCACAGTTGATGATGCACTGGTAATATTCTGCCGACTTTCTTCATAACTGCAGCACCATCTGTTGTTACTGCGATGATATCTCGCTT